GTAAGTGTTATCTCTCAGCGAATGCCAACAATTAACCCTTGTTGGCGTAGTCATACCAAATATCGACGAAAGGCATCAAATCAAAATTCAACACAAATTGTTGAATTCTCTTGTCTTATGGTCCAAATCTATTTAACTTTTTACATTGAGAGATTAACTTATATTTCCTCAATCCTACACAATAACATTTATTATAAATTTTATTGAAAATAAACAATAGCCATTAAAATTCAAGTTTTGCATTAACTTAGCTCTTCCATAAGACATAAGTAACATGTTCACCATAATGGGTCAATAGGAAAGTATCTGTTAGATCTCCTGTAAATTTTTGACAAAAGTGACAAGAATCAAAGGTGCATCTACTTATTGGGGAAAGAGTTCTTCATAGGGTGAAGGGAGGAGAAGATCTAAAGCTTCAGTGAAGAAGCTGATATTGGTGTTCATGTAGAGGAACATCCAGTTGAGCAGCATCATGTTAAAGAGGAAAAGTATGAAAACGTTCCTCAAGTAAAGAGGAAGTTGGTGGATTTGTAGAGGCCTACATGATACTTCCCTACTGATGCATTATGTTGAAACATGGTGCTTATGCCTTATGGTATAGTCAATTTAGTGCAAAACTTGAATTTTAATAACTATTGTTTAGTTTCAATAAATTTTATATTAAATATTATTGTTTTGTGGTGAGAAGATATTATAATTCTGATAGACAGTCTAAGATGACCTTATATCGATTAGCAATTGCATAGTCAGTGTCTAATATAGTCATCTACTTGTTTACATTAGACTGGAAGGAATAAAAGAAAGTATTACGAAAGAAGAAGAAAAGAAATAATAAAAACTACTTCAATATAGGAACATGTATTGCTGATTGTGACTTGAATAGCAAAGAACTCATCAATTCTTCTAGTTGATCATAGTTTTCGACTAGTATTGCGTATTCATCACGTCATTAACTAATTTCTTTGTAGAGGTCATGTTAGATAAAAGGTCATGACTCTTCCTCCAACCCCAATGATGCAGTAATACATTTATACCCACAATGACCATTAGCCATGACATCAACAATATCGACAATGTATAGGTGACATATAGGATGAAACTACTCTATCATGGGTACTCTCCTTTGCACAAATTTTGACTTTGATTGTAATTGTTTTTTTAGATGAAAATTCATTTGTTAAGTGCAAGGCATCTACGTGCTCAAAATATGTCAACTCATGCTTTGTAGACCTTTCTATTCGTTGAAGGTTACTCTTTTGTGCATCCTTTGTTTTCATTGTATGAAATGGAGGTACCCTAAATGTCATTACAGGATAAGCAATATCAAGTAACTTTTGCTTGATGGTGACTTTACCTCCTATGTCAACCTCATTGAGTTGTTCCTAAAACATATGAAGTTCATGTTCAATGGATAACTCTGGTTGGGATTCATTTAATTCAATATTTGAAAAACTTAATCTCCTCTACATTATACGAATTTCAGCCAAAAAGATTACCCGATGGTCATATCGTGCTAATTCATAAGCACAAGGCTCATATGAATTGGTCAATACACCTACTCTAATTAATGTAGTTATCATGATCCAACATCATCATAAACTGTTGCAATTCAATTCTCGACCCTCTCAATGATCGTTTGAACACATACCTTGCATTATAGATTTGTTTAATCGTTGTGACATTACAATCATTATTTTCTTTTAAACTTGATAAAATATTTATAGATGTAACTTGAGTCTTAGTCATATCAGTAAGTAATGACTGTTCATTGAGATTTAACCTCCCAGCAAAAGAGTGACTAATTAAACTTTTAGCCAAATCCTAGTTGTGATATTCACATATGACTTTTAAGAATTATTTGTCACCATTAGAAGATGATTTTCCCTTTAACTGAAAAGGACAACCACATTTTCGAGTGTTGTATACAATAGGCTACACATAAGGTTTTTATTTCTTATACTTTCCACCTCTTTCACATTCAAGCAAGACAAATTGTCTTCCTCCTCGTTCACTTAGTAACTTTGTCGGATCTTATAGTTTATCACAACAAAAAAACAAAGATTATGTTGCCATCCTTCTAGTCCATTGAATTAAGTCGTCACGAGAGGGAAATATTTCATTTGTTGTAAAATTATTTGTTAAATCTCCTTCCGCCACTTCATTTATGAAAGATGAAAAATCTGATATAAAAACAAAAATTTACTTGAGAATCCATACCACAAAGATATTCTTCCATTTTAAACAATATTCACCTATATCATAATATGCACCCCTTACTATCAAACATCATTGATAATAATATAATAATTAAATAATATTAATATGAAAAATCACCTAAAAAGTTATTCATAAATCTAAAATAATAAAACTTTTAATTACTAACAATCATGTAATTAATAATAAATTGAAATTAAAAAAAACGTAAAATACTAAACAATTTAAAAAATAATAATCGAAGTCCTTAAACGAATTTCAAAATTTGTTGAAAGCCTTCGAAATATCCATTAATAGATTTCAAAATTCATTTGTCTTCAACAAATTTCAAAATTCGTTAGTTTTTTCAACGAATTTCAAAATCCGTTGAAGCCTGAATTTAAACATCATGCACCTAGTAACGCGATTATCTTCCTCTACTTCTCCATGAGATGATCACAAACCGTGGGACCATGACCTCCCTCTACCACCAAAGACGAAACGAGGCCTCCTACACACACTTTTCACCATAAACACAACAAATTTTGAATCACAAACACAACCACACTCCTCGAAGAGAAAAAGTAGTGAATAAAGCAAGTGAAAAAGAAGATTAAGTAATGAACAATGATCGGAAAGCACAAGGTGGAGTTATACAAAGAAGTCAATAAATATGAAAGTGGTTAGGTTAGTATACAATAAATGAACTTTTTACCAACTTTATTTATTTATTTTTTTAAATTAACCGGGAATATTTAGGGAAAGTAGAGGTGTTGAGAGAAATTAGTGGAGGTGCAGATAGAAACGTCTACTTTGTAATTAATCACTCCACGTAGGAGTGGGCCAAAAATGTTATTGGTCAATCTTATCCTCTTCTACACTAATTTAGTTAGTAAAAATCCATTTAATTAAATATAATTTTTATTTTTGATCTATATTTAATATTTTTTTTAATCAGGTTTTTATTTTAGTTGTATAAATTTTAAAAGTTGAAAAATCCAAATTATATTCATATCAAAATTATCTGTACCCTAAACCTAATTTCAAGCACCACAACCCCAAACCTTCTTCACTATGTCTCTGTTTTAAGATTTTGAGATAAACCCTAAACCTTCTTCACTATTTCTTCTTTTTGATTCACTCGAAATTTCAGTGGTCAACCAAAGATAAATCTAATTGGTAATCTTAAATCTTTAATATATGTTTATGTATGTGTTTCTCTTTCCATTCATTCTTTTGTTGGAATTTGTTTCAGAAAACGCACGTTGTTGCCACTATTGCGCTGGTGGGTGTGGTGGGGTTCGCCGGAGATAAGATCGAGGCTAGTGCACTGCGTGTTAGGAAGGTTGGTGTGTTACAAGGTATGTTTCGTTCTTTCACGTAGAAAACTCTGTATCTGGGGCTGACATGAACTTGCTTGATATTACCAGCATCATTAAGAAGCTTAATCGAGATGGATGAATAGAACTTGCTTGATATTACAAATTTAGCGTGTCACAAACCAACTGATATTAGTAATGGATGAACGTCTGCATCCTGATGCTAATTTGAGTTGAGATTGATTATACAAGAACTAAATGGAGCTCTTAAAGTATTCAGAACAACAAATGTATAAGATACTGAATGCCTCCTGCTTCTAAATGGGGACATGGATGCTGATATTTTAGAAGCACTTTTCTCGTAGTTCAATCTATAAACAATAACTTTTTTCTTTTCTTTTTGAAGCTTTGTCTAATTGTACCTTCTACAATTAAACCGATGATTAACAGATATGGATTAAAAATATGGTGTATTTTAGGTGATGATAAACTCTTTACCCTGATATCTTCGTGGCAAAGTGAAAGCAAGCACCAGACCACCTCACACTGTGCTAAAGGTTTGTAACTAAGTTAGCTTGCTGTCCAACTCTAGTGTCTTCAAATAATTGCTGTGAAGTTAAACTACATGTTTGTTGCTTTAAATCAAGTGTTTCCCTCATGTCCAATCAATTAAGCTTTTATCTACTACCATAAACATTTTTAAAGACTTTATCTGATTTCATATTTAATATTCTGGCACACAATAGTCTCTAGGACTTAAGGCACGAATAATATGCAGATCGATCTTGTTTTATATTCAAATTTACTTGTTTTTTATTCAATAAGAATTAGTGCTGAATAACAGTCCTAAAACTTCTGATACATTGTTATGAACTAATGGCAAAATCTTAAAATCAAGTTCATTTCTGTTATGGTGCACATGAAAACTAAGGGGGTGGAGAAAAAAAAATTGTCTGCTTTATTTTATGTTTTTTCAATACCAACAGGGTGCCAATAGTTATTAGGGCCTGGGCTTTAGTTATAAAATCAAAGCCCAAATCTCTCCGAGAAACCCAAGGGCAAGTCCCTCTATGTAGGATTTATCATCTACTTTCTCCGTTCTGCATTCCTTCTGGGGTATCAAAATCTGCAGCTTCAACTACGCAGGTGTTTGCATAGAATGGGGAAAACGGCATACAAGAGGGTTGCTGGGGAAGCCAGAGCTTCCGGCAACGCCTTCTTCTTGCTTACTCTCTCTTCAAACTCCCATTCTCATTGAAGACATTTCGTGTTGACGAGACATGGCCAGGTCTCCGCAACCACGAGATTTCGTTCTCCGTCTCTTCGAAATGTCTGCGATGATGCCACGTAGAAATCAACGAAACTGGTATTTTTTTAATTTCGTTTTATTTTTATTTTTCAATCAGGTTTAGTTGCAGTAACACAACCACCACCACAACCAGAGGATTGCTTATTCATTTTATTTGGGTTGAACAGGTACCAAATTAAAGTACAAACCTGGAACTATTATCGGTGGCAGGCAACCACAGTGCGCACGGATTGTGGCGTCTCGCGCTCCATTGGGCTATTTTTGGAGCCACTCATTGTGTTGGTTTGTTTGCCCAACATCCCCTCACAATTAGGCTCAAAGGTATAGTAGTATAGTAGTTTTATAATAATTAGATTTCTATTTGAAACCTATCTCTGAAGGACATTTACAAGATATTTTGATGGTTTAAATTATAACGTTTTTTGGAATATTGTTATCAGGAATACAAATGATTCTAAGGATCCATCGGTTGATACTTCAAGGTCTACTGCTTTACCCATATGAAAGCGCTTTGGAGTTCCCTCTGAAGGCATGGAGCTTAAAATAGAGAGTCGTGGATTACCTCCCAATGGTGGTGGCGAAGTATTTTATCACTCCTGTTGTTCAGAGTCTATCTGTAAGTTTTCTGATTCTTTGATGATTCGATTATTTAAACTTTGTTGTTATCTTATATTTTCTTCCTGGCAGGCTGTTAGTTGGATTGATGAAGGTTTTGTGAAGAAAATTAGAGGAACTACCTTTTCAACCAGAGTGTCTGTTCAGTTTGAAAATAGCATGATTAAAGCTACCCGTGGAATAATCAATCCACTGGTTTCTGATGTGCACATTTTCTCTGATCACAGATCAGGTCCTCAGGCTGGAAAGTATGATTCCTTCCACTCAGTGGAATTTGTTAAATATTGAATTTCAATTTTGGAAATATATTGGTAGTAATTGGGTAAGTCATAGTATTGTAACTCCTTTGTTTGGGCATTCTCTCGTCAAGTCGCCTGGCTATGGGATTCTTTGTTGCGGAAACAACTTCTGGTTGATTCATTCTGCAGACACCGCCGTTTCTCATGCGAGGATTGATGATACTTCTAGTCTTGCAGATGACGTAAAAGGAGACCTGATGCCTCCAGAGGATATTGGTGTGGCGACTGCCAATTCTTTACTTGGTGAGATAGGTCAAAGTGGGGTGGTAGATTCAACACACCAGGTTAGTATGTAGGCAGTTTCTTTCTTCCCTTTTAACGTTTTTATATCAAGTGATAGGTACTGGTATTAAACGCGTAGAAATATGGACAGAAACTTCTTACTGATATGGAAGTTTTGATTCTAGTCGACTGATGGTAATAGATAGAATGTAGAAGTAGACTCCTACAATAGAGAGAAAAAGATATGGCCTAAAAAAAGTAAAGAAAATGCATCAGGAATGCACTCTCCCAGGAAGTGTGCTGACTCAAATGTTATGGTGCTAGAATACGTAGCTACTAGTTCAATTTTATTGTCTTGCACGTGGGTTTGTAGGGCTCGTGTATATGATGAAGTTTAATTCCTTTTTGGAATTCTGGATTCCCCTAATATTTTTTATTGTTTTGGTTTATAGGGCTTGCTTTTTCTTCTTTGTGCACTATGCCCTCAAGATGTTTCAAAGGTTCGCGTTGGAAAACTTTCCCAGCACGGGGTTGAAACTCTGAGAAATATAAGGGATTTTCTAAATTTGAAGTTCATTATAAACCAGAGCCGAACTCACAGTCAGTTTTTCTCAAGTGTGTTGGTTATGGCATGAAGAACCTTTCTCGAAAGGTATCATAAAGTCGTTCAATAGTGTTATAAATCCAAAATACCAAGTCTGAAAGAATTATAATTTTGAAGCCTGGAAAAGATCTTATATAAGATTCAAATTAATTTTAAAACCTCATAATGTAAGTGTTCTATAAAATTTGAGTCTTAAATTAATATCTCCTTGTCAATACAATGATTGGATAGGAGATGCTGTAAGATGTTTCGATTGTAGCAAAAGAATGTCCTTTTTTGTTGTGTAATCGATCTTCTATGAAATTGGTTTAGAGCTAGTACATTTAGTTAGAATTGATTCGTGACCAGTTGGATTTCATGCTTTGTATTGACTACATTTCAAGCTAAATGAGAGCATTCAATCAAATTTTCTTACCTGTTTTTATAGCATGAGTAATTATTTATTTGAACTCTTACTATGGACACAGCATGGCATTAGAGATCACCAGACTTAAAAACACGTGAATGCAGTGCAAAAGAAAATATCTTTTATGTAGTAATTTTTTTATTTATCTATTAAAATATTGACATGTTATTTTGTAAATTTCTTGAATAATTTTTAAATATTTTATTTACTTGAAATCTTTATTCTTTTAAGAGAAGACTCGTTATTAATATTTAAGTATTTTAGCTATAATTTATTGTCCCTTTGCTATTTACTTGTGAAAGTTAACCTGGATATCTCAATTATCTATTTTAGACGCTAACATTTATAATAAAATTAATTATAGTAATAAATTATGTGAAAGGGTTTGGATCTCATTCCCTTAGAAGGTAGTTAATATGTTTGGAGTAAGTAATTGGATTTCAAAATCTCATTAACACAACTTTTACCAATTCAATAAAGCTCATCTCTTTTAATGCATCTCAATTTCCTTCATCACATTAGGCTGGAACAAGTGTCTCTCTACATATTTACTCAGTCTGGTTCATATCCTTGCCTTTGGTGAACATAATTACAAAATTTTAACTTTTTAATTAGATAAAGTATTTTAATCATTCGTAAATATAAAAAAAATATTTTAGTGTCTAATAATTCAAAAACCATTACCTAGTGATTTTTTAATGGATGTTAGTTGAAATTATTTTTCAGTCAAAATTTATTAATATTTTTATATTTAATGCAATCAAAATTTTTTTTAATTTACATTAATTAAGATTATTTTTAATTCACATTTACCATAAATATTTTGTGTCATATGTTAAGTTATCTTTTAATAATATTGATTAATATTTTTTTTTGGCTAACGTATCCAACCAATTGTAGGCTGAAAATCTTTCTTGAGTGACTAATAAAAAATAATTTTAATAACGGTGGATTGAAAGTTTTTCTTATCAACATTTTAATGACTTTGGATAAAAAATAATACATAACACAAGTGACATTGACAAAACAATCTCTGTAACTAATGTAGATTATATCAGTTGCATTGGCTACTACTTAACCAATGTAGATTGAAAATAAATTTAATATAAATTGATAAAGAAAAAACAATTCCAACAATATTAATAGAAAAATAACTCATATTTACATTGACAGAAAAATTCAACTTATATCGACTAAAAAATAGTTATTATAAAAAATATTTAGATTGGCATTAATAAAATACAATCTTGTCAACGTTCCACATGATCTCTATCAAGATCAACTCAATGATGTGTTAGTTACTAGAGGTCAAAAATGACAATATTCTAAACGAAACCAAATCTTAAAAAATAATAAAATAAAAAATATAGGTAAAAGAAATAAAAGAACTAATTAGAAATTTAACCTTTTTAAATACAATTTCAATTTTCATGATTTTAAATAATTAAATTATTCTGAATTTTTTTTTTATTTTTAATTTTCATTTCAAACAATATATTTTACAATATAACTAGAATTACTCGAGCATGATAATGGTATGTTGTTTTTTCACGCACCTTCAATTGTTTTGTCTTGCACTTTTAATTTTCGAAAATAGTTTTCAGTAAATAAGATTATGTTTCCTTCATAAAAAACAAGTGCGTGAAATCTATATTCTTCGCAAGCTTCCAACGAACTTTGAAACTCGTTGAAGACAAGTAAGTGAATTTCAATATCCGTTTCGATTTTCAACAAATTTTAAAATTCGTTAAAACTTTTAAAAATTCTTTTAACAGATTTCAAAATATGTGGAGCCTTTAAAAAATATCTTCAACAAAATTCGAAATTTTATTAAAGCCTTTGAAAAATTCTTTAACGAATTCGAAATATGATGATGAATCTTCAAAAAATACTTCAAAGAATTTTGAAATCTGTAAGCACAAAAGATAGTGGTGGTAGGATTTTTGAATTGTAGAGAGAGAAAAACTTTAAAAGAGTACTTTAATTAAAGGTTTAATCATTTGTTAAGTCTTTTTTTTTTTCTGGAAATATCAAATAAGTTTCTTAGTTTTTTTTGGTCTCAATTAGATCCTTATTTTTTAAAATTGTTCTAATTAGACCCTACTGTTAAATTAAATGAGCTAACAGTGTTAGAATCTTTTAGGTGACATGCTAATTTTAGGTTTTTTAAATGACGTGGCAAGTTATTAGATAGTTACATCTCAACGTGAATTTTTGTTTTTTTAAAATTAAAAAATTCAGAAAAGTTAATTGTACTTAATTGTTTCTAAAAGTTAGGGATTTCCACCTTGCACCAGCCATCATCCTCCTCCATTAACCCTTTTGTGCCACCATTTCCACCTTGCACCAGCCCAACAGAACATTGTTTCAGCACAAAACCAAAAATTGCAAAAACCCAGAAACTAGGAAGCATTATCAAATCGCATTTCCCACCAAGAATCGAGGGAAAATCAGTTCGTCTGCCATGGAGATCACAACAACAACCTAAATCGAAACCACAAATCCACCATCCATCTCCACCTGAACCACTGAAACGCAATAATCCCAGACACAAAGCTCAAACCCAACCTCTGAAAACTCGATCACAACATCCTAGTTCAATCTTCGAACAACGCCGTCGTGAAATCGTGCCTTCTTCATGGCAATCTGCACCCAAATCGTGATTAGGGACAACCATCTTCTCAATTGCGACAGAACCCCAAATCGTGCAGCCATGGAACCCTCAGACGCGAGTCTCCATCGCGCATCTTCGCAGCACATCACCATCGTCAATCTTCCTACATATGCAATCCAAAAATCATGCAACCATCTTCTCCAGGGAACCCTTGTGTCTTCTCCTTCTACAAACAAAAGCCACACAAAATGCAAAATCCCCTGCATCTCGCGCATCAGACCTGCAAAAAGGCCCAAGCAATAGAACCAGAAAATCCCCAATCTCCATCGTGTGCTGTAGTGCTGTGAGCATTTGCATTAATCAACTACGACCCAGATCACGCTACCACCATGAAACCATATTCAAACCACCAAGTGAAACCCAGAAACCCAAATCGCAGCTTTACCAAGACATAGAAACCACTTGCAGCAAACCTCTTTCCCAACTCCCAACGACACAAGGTTCCACACTCACCAAAAAAGAATAACTTCAACGAGAGGAGTTTACCTCTCGGCCGAGTGG